CATTGTTAGGGGAACACTGAATGAATCATGGAGATATTTGTTTTTCGAGGTCTGTTTATTTTGACTCCCTCCACTCTCCCACTGTCTGGTCACCCACGGCATGGTTGTCACTAGAACCAACACTCAACTCAACACAGTTTGTCCTTCCCCTACATCCCCCATCCCGGCTCACAACACACCTGGGGGTGGGGGTGGGGCAGGGCAGATGTCATTGTCATTGTTACACCCATCTTGCAGATGATGAAACTGAGGCTTAGAAAGGAGGAATCTAGTTCCTAAGATCACAGCACTTTGTACTGGCAGTGGCAGAACTCAGGTCTTCTGCCTTGTAATTAGCACTCCCTCCATTTCACTACACAGCCCAGAACTCATTCATGAAACAGTGGAGGCATAAAAACAACTAATATGAAATATTGTTACAACCCTGAAAGGCAGAGATTCCTTTCATACCCAATCAAGAAGTGAGAAATTTGAGACTCAGAGAAGATCACAGCGTCAGGATTTGAACTTAGGTCTCTGTGCCTGCTCCCAAACGCTCCCAAACCAGCTCCATCCCCATTGTGCTGCACTGGCTGCTGCAAGAACCTGCTCCGCCTGAACCTTGAAAACCATTCGTGGTCCCTGTCCTCAAGACACTCCCAGTCTTGGAGGGGAGGTAAGTCTAGGTGGCCAGGGGCCAGCTCTCTACGAGACAAGCAGATTCCAGTGCATGCTCAGAGGGCAGCACAGCTTCGTCCCCTCTGAGAGGAGCTTCCCTCTCCTCCCCAGAGCTGGATTGAGATGGGAGTAGCGATAGGGGGCTGCCATTCTGAGAAGAACATCCTGCCCACCCCATCCCTGAGATGTCCATTTGGGGTGGGGGCAGGGCAGAGAGATTTGTTGCCGGTGGGGCTCACTGGGGCTATGGGGCTAGGGCCTTTGGAGGCTCCTCCAATCAGGGAGTTGAGGCTGGGAGGCCTATGGTGAGTACTAGCCACCCCAGCAGAGGGAGCAGATGTCTCATCCTCTCCCTGTTCCCTGGCAAACCTCATCTTTTATAAATAGTTGTACTTGTTGGGAGCCAGAGAGAGTTGAGGCTTCAGCATCTCTGACAGCCCGGCAGAGCCAGGCCCGTCTGCCTGGAGCTTTGCGTGCTCACATAACACCCCCTCCCCACCCCGCAGCCCAACCGCCACGAGGGTGTCATTGCACCCAGGATGCATGGCGTCTTGGCATGTGCTGGCTCCACGTGGCTGGTGGGTTGTGTGGGCTTTTGGGCAAAGTAGCCAAGCAATCAGAAAGGACCTTAGAACAGACGGATTCTGGAGGTAGTGAGCTCCTCATCCCTGGAAGGGTTCCAGGGGAGCTGGAGGACTGTGTAACAGACATGCAATAAATGAGCTTTGGGCTCTGAAGAATGGTGGGGGAAGAGGGAAAAGCCTGGGCCACATGATCCCAAAGGGTCCCACTGTACATCTAGGGTGGCGTAGGTGGGGACTGTCAGGGTCACAGGTGACTTAGCAAGACTGTAACCTCCCTCCCAAGCTTTAAGATGCCCAGGAAGCTCACCTGTGTGGGCTCCTGGAACCCTCTGTTTCACGTGTGAGCCCAGCAATTTCTCTGAATTCAGGAATGCCAGGAGAGGTTCTGTCCAGCACGTGGGATGCATTACTCATTAACTGCTCATCACTGAGCATTTATGCAGCTCCTACAAAATACACCGGGGAGACTGCCAGCTCCCAGGCTTTCTGAGAAGCCCTGATGCTGGGGCAGTGTTCCACAGTTCCTCTGATCTGTGGGGACCCCCTGTTAGAGTAGGGAACCTGTGAGCCTCCTTAACCTTGGAAACTCCCCACTTTCTAAAGCTGAACATTTAGGAAATCCTTGACCTCTGGGATAGAAGATGAGCGCTCCCAATCTTCAGCCATGAGGACAGGGTCCGAGTCTGTCTTACTCCCTGCTCCTCTTGTCCATGGTGGCATTTAAATAACTGTCAACCAAATGAATGAATGACTGAGTAAACAAATGATGTAAAAGTCCCTTCATTACCTCCTTGCAGGAAGCCTGAGTCATCTGTGAAGCATGCCATCTGTGCTCTCTCTGAGGAGGTAGGGAACAAACATGAGGCTCTAGAAAGGACATCACCTGTGGAGTCAAACTAATTGGGTCCCAGTCCTAGCTCTGCCTCCTATTGGGTGCATAACCTTGGGTGAGTTCCTCAACCGCTCTGTTTCATTAGCTGCAAAACAGAGATAATAATCCCTACCCCATAAAGATGCAATGAGAACATTTTTAAATTGCCCAGCATCTAGTCAGCACTCCATAAATGGTGCTGGTAGTAGTCATTAATGCCATTCTCCAAATGTTTGTGGTTCTCTTTCCAGTCACATGGTAGAATCCTACTTCCCCATCTTCTTGAAACTAGACGTGGCCATGATTTGCTTTGGCCAATGCAATGAAACAAAAAAATGATGTTTCTCTCCTTGATGGAGGCTTTAGGGGGTCACATGTAATTCACCACATTATCTTCTTCCTGCTTCAGCAATCATAGCAGCAATAAGGTGGAGTCACAATCAGCCTGGATCCTGAAATGAGGAAGACAGGGGGCAGATCTCTCCACCGGCCCCGGATGGCAAGGCACGAGGCAGTTTGTAAAGACGGCCGCAATAATTCTTCCCCTCCCTCTGTTCTCTCCCCTTTGGGAGGTGGCTTTGCTACTCCTCCCATCCAGAGAGGAAGTCCATTCCTACAAACCTTGAACCTCCTCAGCCATGTGATTTGCTTCGGCCAATGGCATATTTTTACATATAATGCAAGCAGAGGCTTGTGAAGTGCTTGCATATTGGCGCTTCCCCTGTTTTGTGGCTGGGAAGGAACCTTTCTGCTACTGTTGTGGAAAAGCTTCAGCTAGCCTCCTGGAGGAAGACCACATGGAGTGAGCAAGCCCCCAACTGTCCGACCTAAAATCCCAGACACGTGAGTGAGGCCACCTTAGATCTTCTAGCCCCATCTGAACTAACACAGGCCAAAATAACCACCCAGTCAACCCACAGAATCAGAAAAAATATTAAATGTTTTTTGTTTTGAGCCACTAAGTTTCAAGTGGTTTGCTACTTGGCAAAGGCTAACTGACAGGATATAACATGAATGGGAAATAAACCTCAGCGTATTAAGCCACTGATATTTGGGGATGTTTATTACTGCAGCATAGCCTTGCCCATTATTCTGATTAATATGGTATTTCCTTCCAGTTTCCCTGTGGGAAAGGAAGTACATTCCAATTAAGTTTCGAGTTTTATCCTCTACGGTCCTCCTTCTGTTCACCACTGCCTCCCACTCATCCACTCTCCTGCCTCATGGTCCAGGTAGGAGCTCCTCTTATCCTCCAAACCACAAGGATGAGTTATCTACCAGGTGCATCATGGAGCCTTCTGCTTACCTGCCACTTCTGAGCCAAACTCTCCAGGGCTGTATGGGCCTTAGAGAAAATCTGTAAGAGGTGCCCGTATTGTGACTCAGTGTTCATTCTGGACCCTGATGTGAGAGCAGCTGGCCTCAGCCCACACTATGCATTCCCCACCCCCTTCATTCTCTTGCATACTCTCTGCCTGCAAGGCATGGCAGAAAAAGGCACCAGCTTCAGCATCAGATGCACCTAGATTCAAATTCCAGCTCTGCTGTTTAACTTTCCATCCTGGGCCAAATGCGGTGGCTTAGGCTTATAATCCCAGCCTTCGGGATCTTGTAATTTTCTGCCTTTGGGAGGCTGAGGCAGAAGAATCATTTGAGTCCAGCAGTTCGAGACCAGCCTGGGGAATATAGGGAGACCCCATCTCTACAAAACAAACAAACAAACAAAAAGGTCCCAGCTACACGGGAGGCTGATGCAGGAGGACTGCTCAAGCCTGAGAGGTGGAGGCTTCAGTGAGCCATGATCACACCACTGCACTCCAGTCTGGGCAACAGAGAAAGACCGCATTTCCAAAAAATACATATGTCCATATGTCCTGGCTCTGTCACCTCTTATCCGTGTGATCCTGGGAAAATTCTTTAACCACAGTGAGTCTCAGTTTCCGCCTTTCCAACCTGGGGATAAAAGCTCTGCTCACAAAGCTGCAAGAATGATAAATATAGTGTCTAGCTCAGCACCTGACACAGGATAGACACGGAAGAAATGGTACCTGGGCATCATTTGGAGTCAGAGCGTCCAGTGTTAAAGTTCCAGCTCCACCACTGACTGGCAATGTGTTGCTGGTCAAGTCACTTGGCTTCCCTGAACCTTAGTTTTCTTCTCTGTAAAATGGGCATTTAATTGCTTTTCTGACAGAAGTGAGGTAAGGATATTAAAGGAAATATATGTAAAGTAGGTGGCATATAGTAAGTTCTAAAGAGGTGGCAGTTCTTTCTCCACCCTTTAGCTTGCAAATTCCTTTGATGGCAAAGGTGATTTTACCTCTGTGCCCTTTCTCCCCTGCCACACATACACACAAAGCCTACACACACACACACAGACACACACACACACAATCAGAACTCAGTCAGGGTGGGCTTGTTGTAGAGGAAAAACAGATCGCAGTGACCCCAGAACCAGGAATAGTTTCTGCGTCCGTTCACCCCAGAGGGAGATAGCCTGGTTCTATCGTACATCACATAAACAGGAAGAACTAACAGAGCTGGGGTGGTGGGGAGACCCCTGTGAGCGTCTCATCCACCATCCTCCTCATCCTCCCCCACCTTGCCTCGCCCTCTCCCACAAGCATGCTCCAAGACTGCTCGAGAGCAGTCTCCATGGCGATAGCATTTTAAAGTTTTCTAGGAGCAGAACAGGAATAATTTTCCACCTTCTCCTCCTCCGTGGCAATCCGAGGAGAGGGAGCTTATTACAGATAAAGGGTGGGGTGAGGGGCAAGGAGGAGAGAGGCAGCTCTTTCTTTCATCGCATGACTGGAGAAGGTCACGCTAAAATTCCCCACACCCAGCTCCCTCTCCAGCCCCCACTCTCTCCCCTGGTCTTCACCTACCTCTGCTTGGATGAAGAGATGGGATGGTATGAGTAAAAGAAAAATGACAGGAAAGATAAAAGAAAGAGAGAAAAAGTGGGCCAATGTGTGTCCAATCACATGCATGCACCACTCATAAACACAGTGGCTACAGGAAATTTCCACTGATCTCTTCTTGGGAAGCGATGTTCATCAATGGAGGAGAAAAGCTGAGTATTAGAAGCAGAGATGCTGGACGTGGTGGCTTACCTCTGTAATCTCAGCACTTTGGGGGTCGAGGCAGGTGGTCACTTGAAGTCAGGAGTTCAAGACCAGCCAGGCCAGCATAGTGAAATCTGGTCTCTACCAAAAATACAAAAATTAGCCAAGTGTGGTGGTGCATGCCTGTAATCCCAACTATTTGGGAGTCTGATGCAGTAGAATAGGTTGAACCTGGGAGGCAGAGTTACAGTGAGCTGAGATTGCACCACTGCACTCCAGCCTGGGTGACAGCGTGAGACTCCACCTAAAAAAAATTAAGATAGAAGCAGAGACATCTTTGTACCCTGGCTTCGGCTCATGATTGAGTCAGTCTACATGTTACAAATACCTTGTAGATATCTCCATAATCTACCAGCCCAAAGAGGGTCCACATACACTGTGAAGGGGTGTTGTGGTCATTATGCTGTCTAGTGAATGTGGACACCATACTGTAATGAGGTGTGGGGAATGGGGTGCTCTTCTTTCGTTGATTTCTGCTTACCTTCACAGCCTCCTTCCTCTCAACCCCAATCTACTTTCCTTTATACCTATTCTCCAGTCTTTGAAGGGTTTTTTGTTCCAGATTGTGGGCTCCTATCCAGTTTACATACAATTTCTTGCCAATATCCCTGAGGCGGATACCATCCAGGAGAAGTGTAAGGTGAAAATAGACTGTGAGTGGCCTGCCTCCATTCCCCTCCTGGCATGGCTGTAAAGAAGGCATCTGCCCCAGGACAGGTGTGCCAGAACCCCCAACGGGTGCTAGGAAGCAGGCTGAGGATTGGGGTGGGAGCACAGGCTCAGGTGGACCCAGAAAGATTTCTTCCAGGGCTAAACTTGGCCAAACAAGTCACACGGGGATCGTGCAGAAGACATCAGGATAAGACGATGGAAGAACCAGATTCCAGTCCTGATTCTTCCACTCACTAGCTGGGTGGATTTAAGAAAACCACTTAGCCTCTCTGAATCTCCTCTGTCTTACCTTGTTTCCCAGCCTATCTGTCTTGTTCAAAAGGGCTATTTTGAAAATTCAAAATGAGAGCACTTCAAAAGTTAGCAAGCACCACACACTCGTAAGATATTTCCTTCTATGACTTTGTCAGTCAGTGATGAAGATAAGCTTAAAGCCTGGTCTCAAATGTCAATCTGGAAATGTAGAGTCCATGGGCTCAAAGTAAGTGATGAGGTACTCTAGTGCCACAGGGGTGTGCTACGTGGCCTTGGACAAGTCTCTTATTCTCTGGGGGCTTTGTCTGCCTCTGCCAAAAGAGGGCCTTTTAGGGCAGAAACCCAAGCCAGATGAGAGGCCAAGTCAAGCTACAGTGTGATTCTGGGGTCAGCACCAGGGACAGTTCCCATGAGCCTGGAAGACGGTCATTGATCTGAGTTACCAGAGACCTGGATTCAAGTTCTCACCTTGCCTCAAACTTAGAGCATTATTTTGAGATGGTGTCTTCTCACTGTTCAAAGGCCCAGGAAAGTTTGGGTTCTCATTTAAAAAGCTCACAATCCTTCTAGGGAGTCAGTGTGGTGCAGTGTTCAAGAGCACATCCTACTCACAAAAAGATGCTGGAGCCCAAGACTACCTGATGGGTTGCTCCTCCTTCCCCAGTCCTTCCCTAGGAAGGAGTGTGGTGGAACTTCCTGGGAGCTGTTTGGGTAGAAGATCCCTCCTCATATATAGACCCTTGGGTTTCCTATGCCTTCCAGAATTACATCCACGTATTCACTGAGCCAGGTACCTTTCCATAAACCCTCTAATCTAGTTCCCATGATAACCCCTAGATTAGGCATAATTATTCTAACTTTTCAAATAAGAAGCTGAGTCTGACAGAAGGACACCAATGGGCCCATTGTCCTTTCCATTTCACAGTGCTTACTCATGAATGAGACAGGCTCCAGCCCTGCCCTTCCAGAAGGCACTGAAACCTTGGTTAAGTCACTTCCCCCTCTGGGTTGGACCAGAGCTCCAAGCTCTAAGCATCTTCACTTCCATCCTACAGAGGGGGCTGGGGTCTTGAACTAGGGGCACCAGATGTGGAGCCAGTAACCTCTCAGAGCTCATGCCTACCCAAGGCCCAGAACTCTAAAGTGTCAATAAGCAGATACCCCTGCTCTGAGTTTGCTCTGAGCCAGTTCTCCCTTGGAGAGCCCTGGAAAATATGGCTCTGCTGCTTTGGCAAGAATCTTTCTTTTTTTAATAAAAAAATTATTTTGACAAAGCATTCTTATAAGAAATGAATGTCAGCCTCACTGTAGAGAAGTGTCAGTGTGTAATTGATGTACGACATGGTGTTTAATTATAGCAGCACCCTTTAGCTCTGTCACCAGCCCAGCACCACCCGCCCTCCTCTTGTAGTGGGGGATAGGGAGAGGTCTGTGTGTCCCATAACTATTTCTCAGGGATCCAGACCAGCCTTTGACCATCAGGATGAGCTGGGGTCCTGACTGACCTATGAATTTCCAAGGCCAAGGTCCCACAACCCCAGTAGAGTGTAACATTCACAAATGTCAGAGATGGGAAGCAACTCAGATATCACCACATCTAACCCATGCATTTATAGCTAAGATCCCACAGCCCCAGTAGAGTATAACATTCACAAATGTCAGAGATGGGAAGCAACTCAGATATCACCACATCTAACCCATCCATTTATAGACAGGAAAATTGAGAAACTCTCTTTATAATGCATATGCCAGGCTTCTTATGTCTTATTACATGACCAATGCTGAAGAGAAGAGGCAAACGTGACAGTCACTTTGCCCAGGCAAAGTGGAAAGACCCAGAGACACAGACTGGGAGGGGAAGAACATGGAAGAAGCTGATGTGTACTAGGTACCTATTATAGGCTAGGCACTGGGCTCAACACTTTTATAAATTATATCATTTGGGTATCAGCCCCACTTTACAGATGTAAAAACTGAGGCTTACAAGATATTAAGTCACACCACCAAGATGGATTCAGGTGTGCCAGGCCCCAAAGATTGAGCTCTTCCTGTTGAGAGGAGCTACAGTGGGCTCTCCTCTTAAGCAGCGAAGGACTGGAGTGAAATCGACCTTGTTCTCTTCACTTCCTCACTTATTTCCCAGGATCAAGTGCTTGGTTGCCCTGTATCATCTGATCAAATAAAAGAAGCATAACTGCTTTCTGGACATAACTTGCCTTCTATTGACTTAGCAGTCTCACCTTCCCCACAGGTGACAAGCATCTGTCATTTTGGTTTTTTTGGTGACATGCACCACAGGTGACATGCACCTGTCATTTTTGTCATTTTGGTTTTCTTATGATCTATGGATATGAAATGATGCCAGCAATATCCTTACCCCAGACACACCCCAAAATGTTTCAGGACACACGGGCCAGACATCAGAGGGAGATGAAACTATTAGGTGAGACTCAAAAGGACCAGCATCTTCAACTCAGGCATGGAAGTAGCACTGGAGGGCTTGCTCCGCCTGCCCCTCTTTCTAAAGCACCTGCCACTCATCCTGGCTGTGTGGCGATAAGGGATTGAGAAACACTGCAGTGCAGGGAAGGGTTTTTTGACTTACAGAATCCTCAACTGAAACTTTAGATGCTTAGGAAATTCCTCTGCCTTCAATTTGCAGCACCTCTGGCCTGATCCGAAGATGCCAGCAGCATCTTGGTGTCAATCAAATTTCTACAGATGTCATGTGCTGAACCTGGCTCTGTCTATACTTCATTGCTCTGGGATCTCAAAGAATTGGCTACAAAAGTGGGGAGTAGCAGGTGGTCATTAAACCTTCCATTATGCTTGATGCTGTGTGAGGGCCGTCTCACTTCTAGCTAAAGCATCCCCTGCAAGGCACATAGAAATTCCTAATGGGAAATGGCTCCTGGCACAGGCTGAATTCTGTCCCCCAAAATTCATATGTTGAAATCTCAATACCTAGTACCTTGGAATGTGGCTATACTTGGAGATAGAGTCTTTAAAGTTGTAATTAAAGGAACATGAGTCATTAGGGTAGGCCCTAATCCCATATGACTGCTGTCCTCATAGGAAGAGGAAATTTAGACACAGACCTATAGAAGGAAGTCCATGTGGGGACACAGGGAGAAGACAGACATCTACAGTCCAAGGAGAGAGACCTCAGAAGAAACCAATCCAGCCAACACCTTGATCTCGGACTGTTGTTTAAGCCACCCAGTCGGTGGGATTTCATTATGGCAGCCTCAGCAGATCACAGCAAGAGTTCTCTCGTTTTTCTTCTCTCCAATATATCCAGCTACCTCCTTCCATCATTCCCCTTCAACTATGGATAATTTACTGGCATTAAAAAGCACGTTATGAAAAAAACGTGCATTATGGGTCCGGGTGCAGTGGCTCACACCTGTAATCCCAGCACTTTGGGAGTTTGAGACCACCCTGGGCAACATAGTGAGACCCTGGATCTACAAAAAATTAGCCGGGCATGGTGTCATGTGCCTATAGTCCTGCATCAAGAGGCTGAGGTGGGAGGATTGCATGAGCCAGGAGGTCCAGGCTTCAGTGAGCTGTGATCACTCCACTGCACTCCAGCCTGGGTGACAGAGGAAGACCCTGTCTCAAAAAAAAATGTGCACTATGGGATGGAGAGGTTGGGATGGGCCTTTTAATATACTTAGAGCTTAGGTGAGAAAGACTGAGGGCAAAAAGAGCCTTTCTTTTCCTCCAAGCAGCCCACCTCTCCAATGCCAAAGATATTTTGAGATTACAGGAAGCTCAATTCATAAGTCATGTCCACCTAGACAGTGGGTAACAAGGTTTCTGGGACCCAGAATGCCTCTTCCACAGAAACAATGTTT